GGGAATTTTAGGGGTGTAATTTTTTTTTTTTTTTTTTTTTTTTTTTTTTTTGAGATTTATTTTATGGCCCAGAATGTCAATGGCATCTTCTTCTTTTTTTGTTTTTGGCAGCTGGCCAGTGTAGAGATCCAAATCCTTGACCTTGGTGTTTCAAGACTGTGCTCTAACCAACTAAGCTAACCAGCCAGCCCTGGAAGTATAATGATCAGGCTATATTTATGTCATTGAGAAATGCAAAAACTATGAATTTTCAGTAATCTTGTGAACCAGAAAAGGTGAAGAATGTAACTATATTTGAGTTTCTGATTCTATTTGTCCCTGAGGCTTAACTGCATTCCAGTTCTAGGGTTCTATGAGACACCACAGTATCCTTAAATTACATTCCCCTCTTTGCTTAAGCTATTTCCAGTTACATTTTTGACTCCTTAACCTCCCTGGACACATACAAAACCTATGACTGTACACCCAGAATACAAAGCAAAGTTGTTCTGAAGTTTTCACTCTTCAGAATGATTCTTGTATCACTTTCTGTCTCTGAGCTCTACTACCTGTGCAACCTGTACCTGTTTAGATTTGCTTTTGGACAACCATCTTATGTAGCAAGATAATATTTGGTAGTATTATATCCTTATATCCTGGCTCATGCCCCATTCAAACTCAAACAGAAGCATCAGGGAGGCAGATAGTAAAGGAATCAAATTCTTGCTTTTGAATTTTAAAATAGATTTTAAAGGTGATGGCAGAGACAATAATTTGAGGAAAAAGTTTGAGTGGTTTTTTGTTTGTTTGTTTTTTACAAGATGACCAGTAAGGGGATCTTGGCCCTTGACTTGGTGTTGTCAGCACTACGCTCTCCCAAGTGAGCTAACCAGCCATCCCTATATAGGGATCCGAACCCACAGTCTCAGTGTTATCAGCACCACACTCTTCCAAGTGAGCAACAGGCAGGCCCAAAAGTTTGAGTGTTAAAGACTAGTTTCTAAGTATTAATCCTGAAGAAGTTTAATGACTTAGAACCAAACAGAAAATTACAAAGAGCATGTTGATGTAAGAGCCAGTTTTCCTACCCTCGATGGAGGTATAGCCTTAGAATAGAAAGAGTGCTGGGCTGGCCCATGGCTCACTCGGGAGAGTGAGGTGCTGATAACACCAAGGCCATGGGTTCGGATCCTATATAGGGGTGGTCAGTTCATTCACTGGTTGAGCATGGTACTGACAACACCAAGCCAAGGGTTAAGATCCCCTTACCGGTCATCTTTGAAAAAGAAAAAAAAGAATAGAAAGTGTTAGGGAGTTCTAGTCAAGGTGGTGGAGTAGACAGTCCCCAGCATCACTCTCTTCCACAAATCAACCAATTAACAACCATAAAAATGTAACATCAGCCAAGCTGGGGCTGCTGGAGTTCAGGGGAAGAGGAGGAGAGACCTATGGAGTTCATGAAGGTGGGAGAAACCACGATGAGAGAAAGAAAAAACTGCTCTGAGCATTTCAGACTGCAGCTGCTTTAAGCCTGGAGCTGCTGAGCACATGGAACGGGAGCCAGCAGAAGCTGCAGCTGTGCCTTCAGATGGAGTTGCTTGGAGGCGGCAGGGGAGAAGAGGGCCTTGGTGGCCCCAAGGACAGCAAGACCACTAATAGGGTTCCCATGGACCCACGCAGGAGTGAGGAGCCAGAACAACTGAAAAAAGGGAGCCATTTGGAGGCCAGTGAGCCATCACAAGGGACCAGCACAGGGCCCATCCCATGGGAAGTGTTTGGAGCACGGGCAGTGGGGAAGACGGGCCCACTGGGACAGAGCAAGGACAGCCTACCCACCCCCCAGTCAGCTCAGGACCATTCAGAGGAGACTGGTCAGGAATGCAGAATTGCATGGGGTGCAGTTTAATGGAAAAAACTCAGGCCCAGATCAGAGTTTCTATACAACACAGATGCACCAGGTCTCTGGAAAGCTAGAAGTACCTACAAGGTCAACTATTAAACCCTGAGCTGCACAAAAAGTCTTCCCTGGGGAAACAGCAGCAAAACAGCAATTTAGCTCAACCACACAGCTCAAGTACTGGTTCCCACAGGAAATCCCCACCCCCCATTTTAGAAGTAAGCAAAGGACAAAAAATTAGTTACAGCCCAGGCACACCATCAGCACCTTGGGGCCTGCCTGGGAACCAGAGGCTTGGAGCCAGGGACCAGACCCCACTCCCATATCCAGGCACACTGCACCAGCACCTTGGGGCTCACCCAGGGGCCAGAGGTATGGAGAAGGGGACCAGACAC